AGTAAGCAGTGAGCACCCATGTGTCTGTTTATCTACCAGTGAGAATAAAAGATAGATAGAAATAGGATTTCTAAGATGCAGTTTCTCTCCTAGCACTAACCACTATCAAACACCAGTTCTATCATTCTTTACGTTTCTGTGAAGGAAAGAAATGCATCACTAAAAAATGACTAATTTTGCATATGTTCAGAGTTTAAAATGACGGGATCATAAGTATTCTTCTATAATAATTGACTTGCTTATCTTTTCATCTTGTTTAATGTATGACGTATGGAGAGAAATGCCAAGAGTATGTAGTAAACAGCTCTTAGTGTTTCTTCAGTCGCACACTGCTTGCAGTTTAGTGTTTCCTAAAACATGGTTGATACATTTTGTGTAGGAATACATTCTATTTGAAAATTTCAAAATGCGTTTTGAAAAGGTCAGTCAAGGTAGGCTCTAGCCAAAGTACTGAATGCTCTGTGCAGCTGGAGCAACACAGCGTGTGAAACTACCTGAAATGCTTTCAGAGTGAATGAACTACTGTGTTTCAAATTTGAGATACTCATATTTTTTTTTGTATTGATTTACAAAATCTGCTTGCTTTGCTTTAGTGTGGCAGACATACCTCTGAAGGGGTGTGACCCTCCTCCTCTGCAGCATGTAGTCTTGTAAACCAGTTTTTTTCTCAATCGGAAAACCTACACACTAAGATTCTTTAGATAAACAGATGATAGATGGATAAGCAGATGGATGTACATCCATCTGTACATATGTTTGTGTGTGTATATGTGTTTGTGTGTGTATATGTGTTTGTGTGTGTATATGTATACTTATATAGAGAGATGTACACATATATCTGTATATGAGAGTCTACACATACAAAACACACATATGCATATAAAGTATAAAATGTGACCTAAGTTCCATTCTTTTCTCAAATAGCGTCTTTCCCCAACAGTCAATGTTTTGAGTGTTTAAATTGCAGGGCATATTGAAATTCACTCACATAAATTCCAGAAATGTCTCGCTCTCTCTTTTTTTTTTTCCTTCAACCATCTAGATTGCATGTAAAATCCAATATCTTCACGGTGAACCAGGAGGCTTTCCAGCAAGATTTTGTCCAGAGGAAACTTGTTACTAGAAACCTGTCATTGCACATTGTTCAGTAGCAGCTGGCAGACAGTTACATTACTCCACAACTTTTAATTTTCAAATTAGCAATTACTGCCATGTGTGGTTTATTGAAATGGCTAACTGAATTACAAATAAGTGTTTGTCTGAAAAAATGTTGTTCATCGAATATGAGAATGTGTTATGATCGATAATGTGGAATTTATGCAAAATGTTAGTTGAAATATGACAGGACTTCAACTATTTCAAGGAAATTTTTCACCACAAACACGGAGAACTTGCCAAACAATAACCATGTGCAACCCTCAGTTTTATTGCCCAGGCCTCCATAAAGAGAAATGGAACAAACCTTATATGAGTTTAACGAAGAATCTATCCTCTAAATGTCCATGGCTAAAAGACCCTAAGTTTCAGATCCTAAGTATATAGGGATCATGGGACACGCATCATGAGGGAACGAAGGCATCTGTATGTCCTCTCCAGGCAGCATTTAGCTGTAAATGCTCAGTGCCAGATAGTTGTACCCATCAAATCCAGACTTTCCTCTGGGTTAAAATATCAAGTGAAAGATGATGAAGTAGAATATTTTATGTAGCCCTTTGCACATTAAAGTTTCAGAGGCAACTATAAACCTCTTGGTGTTCCCCTCATTACTATGACACTTCCAATTAAATGAAACAACCATTTGCAACCAATAGGAGGTTAATATTTTTACAAGGCACTTACTCCTTTTGCATGTGAGAAAAGATAGATCAAATAGGTTTTGTAAATTAAAATATTTGTACCTGTTTCCTTGTAGCTAAATTCAATATTGTACCTTGATCCAATTTGGAATAATGTGATTTTTTACTTTTAAACAGTTTTTATGTACCAATATACCAATTTTGTACCAATATATTTTGACCATTACAGCAACCTAATGACACATACATTGTTACTCTCCCACTTAGTGGATTAGGGAACAGAGATATCAAGTAACTTAATCATCACACAACTGGGAAAAGCTTTGATTCTATCATTAAATAAATTTTCTAATCGTGTTATCCATTGATTTCAGCCTATTGTAGATGACAATTGAACTATTAAATTTAAAACCTTTTTTTATAGCTTGCCAGTTAAAAGAGTGGAGGTTTTAGCAACACAGTAAAATTAATATTTGCTATGACAACAGTTTCACTCTAAAGTATATGTGTTGGAATTTTCATGAAGAGAATGGATCTTCCTCAAACTTCCTATACACAAAAAGCACATTGTGAGAAAAAAGTTATTAGCCCTTCAAATGGCTACAAACTAGTTTTAAAAAATTAAAATTCACTCCTTAAATTACTCCAAATGTGAAGGACCAAGAAAATGAAATATTTTTCTCTGCTACTTTGGCCTAAAACAGCTAAGGAAAAGATGCAAATATTTTAATAGATTAGTACTGTTAGGGTATTGTTACTAACCACTGTTGAAATGGGATTTTTAAAATCTAGAAATCTAAGAACTAAGTAGAGCCCATCACTGTAGTTAAGCATTTCACATCTGGGTCTATAAGAACTAACCTAAGATATTGGTAGGAATTGACTTTCATCATAGCTAAAGAAAACAAGGAGAAATTCTCTGAACTAGCAGTATTAAACTCCATCCGTAGAATAATGGGGTTTTTGCATCCTTGGGTTATTTTTCACAATGTTCTTGGTGATGGTAGTGGATTAATACTAGTGGCAGGTTATGTTGGAAAATATAGCAGGTGTTTCATGTTAATAGTTTTAACAACGGTCATAATCATGGTAATAGTAATTATAATCTATTTTAAAATTATAATAGAAGAATCAGAAATTATAATTATAGTTTTAAATATTAACAGATTCTTCCTTATTTTTACATAGTTCTTTGAGAAAAATCTGAGACTTCACCTGTGAAATTTGGGGATTTTTTATTATGGAAAACTTTTTCCTGATGGAAGGAATCAACAGTGTAGGATTCATACGAACTGAAACTTGGGTTAGGTTACAGAAAATAGATTTTTAGGTTACAGAAAATAGATTTTTCCCCCAAATCTATATAGGAACATTCAAGGATAAAATATATAATTTACTTGAAATGCTAATCATAGAAAATAAAATATGTGACTCATTAATGGCCCTGCATTTTTCAGCTCTGTGCTTCTAGGCATCACTGCTGCGTTTCTGTCAACATTGTTTGGAGAATGATTTTGATTGATTTAAACAGCTTACTGCCTTAAACTACTGACCTATTTATTCTTGAAATCAAGTAAAGTTTCTTCAATTAGTATATAGAAAATACCAGGAGAGAAATAGCTACCCAGAGCTACTATCCCTGAAAAACAAAAATTATTTTCAAAGTAACTAGAGATTTAATATTCTCATAACTAACCTGGAATAGCATTTGAGAATTTGAAATAATTCTGATGTCTACAATATGCCAATGAAATGTTTATTCAAACCATAAAGTGAGATAACGAAATATTTATTATTTTTGAAGCCTCTAGCTTACACAATTTTGTGTTTCTTAAAAATAATGATTTTTTCAATTCTTGTAAAAATAGAAAAATAATCTGTAATAGTCCCAGACAACTAATTAACTTTTGATTGCCTAAGCATTGCATCTGTATTGTCACCAGTACTTTGCTTTGGATTTTATTTTGTGATTGTGTGTGTGTGCGCGCGCGCATATATTTGCGTATGTGTTCTTAACTGAAAATTTCTTAAATAAATATTTGAATGCAGAGAAACATAACAAAGGGTCAATCAAGACCAAACCAATAATAAACTCTTAACATCTGATTGCAAAACTGAGGCAACCAGAGGCAGAGGGCAGTGGGATTGGAGTCGGGGAGGGAAGTGGTGCAGAGGAACACGGGAGAGGATTGTTCACTGGTGGTGGGGAGGGTGTGAACATGTACGTTGGTGGAGGTTAGAACCTATAGTCCCAGGAGCAGATACAAACATGTAAACTTACTTTATCTCCATAAACGAAGTTTGGATAGAAAAATTAAGAAATTTAGCATTCTTTGGGCTAACTCCCCTTTCCCAGCCAGCTAAAGATATTGGAGGCAAGAAGCCATTATAGGATTAACAATTTGTCATGGATAATCCACAGAGAAAATAAACCCAGTGTGTATAATTGAAAGTGGATAAATTGGTAGCACAGGAGCTATTGGAAATTAATTGGTGACAAAGTTCTCCACAGTAAATTCTCTCTCATTATCCAACCTCTAAAACAGGCTGGCATTGGAGTCTCTCTAAATTAAAAGACATTTGTATCTTATGAATATTTTGCCAACTTCTTTGCAAGAATGTAAGCATTAACTTTCTTGATAAGACGCTAGTATTGTAAAGATTTGAGAATCTGAGAAATGCACATATTTTCCCATCGGGGTTAAACCTCCTTCGACTATGAAAAAGAACGTTCAGAACAAGTTCTGCAGTTTCATATTGAAGATGTATATGTGACTTCTAAAATGGTTTAAACTGAAGCTACAGCTTCAGAAAGTGCAATAAAATATAATGAAAATACATCCACTTGTAAAAAGAACTTGCTTGTTTGATTGTTTTAAAAGTAAGTAATGCATAATAGCAAATGAGTGTGTGATTTACTTATAATCATATTAATTTCTCCAGCCCAATAATCATTTCAATGTAATAGCCAATTAAAATTGTACAAAGCATAGATATCCCAACTATTAATCTGTAAGGTGCTACCAAATCATACGGAAATTTGTTACATAACACAGTCATAACAGATACTGATCAGACATTAAGACATTACTTTTTTTCTAGAAACTAGGACACTTTATTTTCAAAATATGACTAATCAAATTGGAGGTATTTTAATTGAAATTTTATCTAGCTTAACATTATTACTATTTTTTCTAATTTTAGGTTTCATATACACTGGGGAAGTTGTACATCGAATGCTGACAGCCACACAGTATATAGCACCTTTAATGGCAAATTTTGATCCCAGTGTATCCAGAAATTCAACAGTCAGATATTTTGATAATGGTATGTATTGGCTAACCTGTCTTTTCTTTTTACTGATTGTGTACTATCTTACATTAATAATTATATTCATATTTGTGTTTTTGTAAACCTGTAGGCTTTTTTTTGTTTGTTTGTTTGCTTGTTTGGGTAAACTGGATTTGTAAACGACTCATGCAACTAACTATCCTAAGATGACAGATGTTATCATGTAACTGTTACTGTGTAAAGTACATGTCACTTGTTCTTCCTCTTCAACAAATGTTTGTTAACCTCACTATGCTTATAATAAATTGCTTCTAGCAACCTTTAATAAAGAAAATACATTGATTTGATGTTATCTGTGATAAGTCCTTCATATTTAAAAAAAATGAAATAAATATTTCTTAAATCTGATCTTTAAGTCAAGGCAAGTTGAATAAAATATTAATAAATTTCTAAAATTTATGAGTATGTAGTGTGAACATAGCCTTTAATGATAGAGGAGTAATTGGTAGTTAAAATATACTTAAGAAAATCAAGTTTTGGGTATTTGCTCAGTCACCTCCTGATCTGTAGGAGTCACTCAGCTGGGTCTGAATTTCATCAGAAAAAAAGTTTCCATGTGCCATTTTCCATTAGGTGTGTCCATGGGAGGAGGGAACCTCCTATATTTTGGCCAAAAGTTCTAAGATTTGGACCTGGGGTTAAGTTGCAGCACGGTCACCACCAGGACCTGAGTTTGATAGTCAGCCGGGAGCTGACCCACATGGCGCAGCAGACCCTTGCTGTCTCCCCACTTCTCCCCTCAGCAGTGTATCTCAGTAGATCTTTCTGTTCTGCTCACCACTCTGAATGCTCCTACTTTTGCACTGCTAGCTCTGCACCCCCGGGTCTTCTATGCATAAATAGAATATATTTTTTTAAATGTTCAGGTTTAAGTTTTATCAAGAATATAGTAATGACATTTTCCTTTTCCCCAACAATCACCAGGTACAGGGGCTAACTCAGAGACCTACAGATGAGAGAAGTGGTTAGGGTTAGGGATGTGGGAAGAGGCAGAGACGCTGTGCCCTGCTGATCACACTGCTCGCCCAAGCCCTCTGTGTTCACTAATCACCCTTCCTGCCACACAATCTCAATTTTTTCTCTTTCAATCAGATACTCATTGACTTGGGAAATAATTTTGCTCTTTGATTTCTGTGAGATATATTTTCACTGTATCTTTTTTTTCCAACATGAATTTTTAGTGAAATAGAAATCTAAATCTTAGAGTTGCATCAAATGCTTCACTTATATTTGTTTTCTGTTTAAAAAATAGATAAATATTAGCTAAAATTTTGAATTCTCAATGGTGGTTATCAGACTATCAATATGTTAATCATTTTAGTAAACGCTGGCGGATTGACTCATCAGAATATAATACGTAGCCCTGAAGATGCATCCCAGTGCACTTCAAGGAGCTTCTGAAATCTTAGCCTGCGGCCCTTTGAGCCTCCTTGCAGCCTCCTCCAAGCAATACAACAAAGACAGAAATGCAGGCACTGTGAATCAAAGGAAAAAACTTCCCATTAGTGTTAAAGGAATTTCTTCAGCATGGGAGAGTATAATTCTAAGTGTGGAAGAAACATTTTCAGGTCTTTTATAAGTGATTCTAACTTTCCTGAGTGCGTTTTCTTCTCTCTCAGCATTCGTCAAATGTATTTGAAGTTATTCAGTCCACTTGGACTACATGTTGAAAGTGGCTCTTGGAAGTTGAAGCAGGCAGTACCCATTAACATTAATGGACTTCTCAAGGCAAGATTTCCCCATTCTGGGCTCAATATTCACCTCAGTATGAGGTTAGATTTTACCAAATATTTATAGAATACTCAGTTCTTAAAAGTACCCCGACTGTGATTTCAATAACTGAATTCCAGCGACCCATACAAAACTCAAGTTATGCAGCTAATAGATTTGAAGGTTAATTCACTGTTTTGTGATAACTCCCTACCAGAATTGATTGATGTTTCTTTTTCTTTTTTTCTTTTCTCATTTCATGTCTTCCATTCCAATGGGATTTATAGGTACAGCTCTTGTAGTCCAGTGGGACCATGTTCATCTCCAGGATAATTACAACCTGGGAAGCTTCACATTCCAGGCAACTCTCCTCATGGATGGACGCATCATTTTCGGATACAAAGAAGTAAGTAATGTATTAATGATTTATTTCAACCTTGATCCTGACCTCTATTCTTTCTTCCAGGTGTCAAGAGGAGTTCACTTTGCAATCATCAGTTCAAATCATGTTCTTACCCTTTGGTCTTTTTTAAATAAAGAACATTTTATTTTTTTTTAATTTTCTGAGTAGTCTTAAATTATCTGGCTTTATTTTACATTTGATACCATTGGTATTATGATACATAAATTTCATAAAATTATTTAGCAATCATATTCTAGTGATAATCTAGTAAAATAGCTCCAAGAAAAATATTTCTAATTTGAAAGAATTTCCCCAACTCTAAATCTGGTTGTATATATTTATTTATATGTTCCTTTGTCTTTTGCCTTGCCAATTCCTGTAATTGTTTTGGTTTTAATTCCAAAAAATATGTGTAGACATGAAACTGTTGTAGCTCAATGACCCAATAATGAAAGCATTTCAGGACAGCTGGGTGCAGTCTCTTTGACCAAGGTTCATTGCAAGTGATAGAAGAGATTAATTAGAAATCTAAGTGCTAGAACAAGGGAATTTAAATTTATGGTTTGCTTCATTTTATCAAAATTACACAGTTAAGGATGGGAATGTAATCAATGATGACCTTAAATTAAAATGTGGAAGCTGGAATAACAACATGTTTGGTTTCAGACTCTGTTGGACAATGTAAGTAAGGGCTTTCAGACAACCAGAAACATTTGTGGTAGGAAAAAAAAAAAAAACACTATAGAAGAAAAATTCTAGGAATGGCAGATGTCATATTTTAGGTATTTTCTGGGTATGAGAGAAATTTATGACAATGGAAATTAAAACTTAGCATTTTTAAACCGCAGGTTAATGGGTATTTATGACAATACAGAATGGTATCTTTTTTCAGTTGAGGGATAGGGATTTTTCCCCCCTTGGGAAACATAACCTCTGTTATTAAGAAGATATTGACAATTTAGAAAGAACTCACTTTAGTCAAGTCTTAGGAAATTTTCCAAATCTATAATTATGTTTTAGTGAAACAGGCAAACTTTTGGAAATCTCATCACTAGGGTAGACAATTTCACTTCTTTAAAAATTCTTCCATGTTGAACTATCATCTACTTAGGGTACTATGTAACTAGATTATAATATAAAACCAATTCTGCTTGGTGTTTCCTTACTCAGGCTATTTTAATATTGCAGCCCACCCTGCTATAACATACTCCCTGTAAACTGAGAGAATGTCTCATTCATTTCTATTTACATTGCCCTCTAGTGAGTTGCTGAGGTTACAGAGTGACATTGTGGAATGTTAGTTTTTGATACTTTTAACCAACATAGTCAAGTTTCTGGAAAAATGCAGGGTCACTAAGTGTGGAGTCTTCAGTCTCACTGTAGACTTCACCAAAATAGGGGTTCATATTCTTATTGTGGTCTCTCTGTCTCTTTAGTCTTTATTTTCAAATTTGTCATCTTTATTTTCACTGTTCTCATTGTGTATCTCACATTTCAGAGTAAGAGTTTATTCTTCCTGTTCTCTCTTTGTAGTGGACTTGGAATTTTTTTTAAAAAAATGTTTCTTCTTATATTTTTAATCAGAGAAATGTTCCTGTTTTGTGTTGAAGAATATTAAACTGAGAGACAGTTATAAACATTTTTTTGATATACCCACACTATTGTCCTAATCAGGGTTCTAAGTAAATGGGTTTTACTTTATTATTGTCTTTCCCTTGTCCTGGTTAGAAAACTGACTTTATTTTCTATTCTATCTTTATGTTTTCCTACATTTAATTTTTCTGAAGCAAATTTCTGTTTGTAACATTTAGCACAAGGGCCTACTTGCATTTGGAATGACAATTAAATGTTCCTGGAGTTATTAGCTATGATCCTAAAATTCAGATAATTTATATTAAATTACCACTGAATTGTGATTACCACTGATTGTTTGCTTAATTACAGTAGATATAATCTGAAATTTGAGGTCTGTTGAAAATATAACAAGGAAATTACCTGTTTGCAAAAACACATTCATCCCAAATGCTTGAAATATGAAATGGGTTTCTCTCTTAATATGCTCACATTTGGAAGGTGCACATCATCTGACTTGTTTGACCTTGCCTTTATGATATTTTTAGTTTATTTATTACCTTAGAAACAAATGAGAAAAAGATGTGATTGCTTTTCTATCTATAATAAATTTGATTATTTTCCTTTCACTAGCTGTTTGGAAGGACAGGGTAAACATCAGTCTAGGAAAATGCAATTAAAAAGGGAAGGCTTCTGTGATCTTCTATAGGGTGACAGGAGGGTTATCATAGAGAACAGATTTTCCATCTGAGAGTCAGCTGATTCATTTCTTGGTTGGATAACTACCTAAATCCTCTGGCAACAAGTTTTAGGGGAGGTCAGTATAGAGGAACTTTATTGTTTATTAAATAAAATCACTTTTTAATCCTTTCTGCTATTTAAGTTTAAGTCTAATGTTCCTTAGTGTAACATTGAGTGTGTCAGTGAGAGAATGAGTAGCTCATAAATCACCATTGCCAATTGCCCGTAGTCTGAAATGTACCCTTAGTGCAGCTTTTGAATTTCTTTGGAGACGATTCCTCTTATTTAAAATGTAATGACCCTCCATTCATGGCAGTCATTTTGAAAGCATTAAAAGATGAACACTTGCTGAGCTTGCAGAATTTAGGGGAAAAAATAATTGAAGGAAATAAGAGGAGGAAGGTGCAAAAGAACTGAACAGTGAAACAATTCACCATTTAGACATAATCTGCCTCCAGTGGCTATTGCTGTAGGCTTTCGACATATGTTACTAAAATATATGTGCTCCAAAGATGATATAGTATTCTGATGATAAGCTTTCACAAAATAATTCTAAGGAAAGTTAGATAATTTTATATTATCAAACTCATCTCTCTATTTCAAATGCATAAAATAAAAAGTTATGTCTCCATGGATCTAATTTAGTTGCATTTTTGCAAGTTTTTTTATTTTTTGGCTATCACACATAAAGGCTCCTGCTGTCTTTATTTCTTTTCTCTTTTTACATAGAGTAAAAACATGACAGTTTGCACTATTCTCCCTTTATAATGGTCCAACAATAAATGCTGTTACTAAAAATAAATTTAAAAAACATGTAGTAGAATCAATAACCTAGAATAAGTAATTTCCAAGACAGTTAACTTGTCCTAATGCCTGCCCTGCTACAAGCTGGCTGTGTTGTCCTTGGGCAGTTTAGTATATCTTTCTGGGTTCATTTTCTCCTTCCAAATTTCATTTTCATTTCATCCCTGAAGGGCCACTGATATGTGGTCTAGCAATATGTTCTTACGAGAATCAGGCCAAGTCCACTCACTGTTGAAGTTATACAACCTTAGAGTATCTAAGGTCAATGACCTTGTACATTCCACGTGTGTCCACACACCCAGGACACAGTTTCCTTACCCACTTTCAAGCCCCAAGGTGTTTCATTCCCCTGTCATGGTTAGGGAAGCTCCCTTATCTAGCTATGCCCCAATTAAGTCTCTACCATACTTTTTGCTGTCATGAGCAATGTTTCTTCTACATGTAGTTCCAATTCTCAATTTTCAAATCAGTAGTGGGAAGTCTTTAATCGGAGGTCCATTGATTTGTGTGTATGTGTGTTTAAATCAGATGATGTTGCCAGAAGATTTGCTACAACTGGCTGGAAATCTTACTCAAGATGTGTTCCCTCCAATTTCTTCTTCACCCATTTCTTCTTTCTTACTGTGGATAAATACTTAAACAGAAATTTGAGGGCCCTTCCTGGTGGCGCAACTGGTCAGGACACAGCGCTGCAAGCCAGCTGCAGCCACCTCAATGCTACTTCTACCCCTGACTGCTCGCCGCTCCCCTCAGCAGTGTACTTCATTGATCTGCCTGTTCTGCTTCCCACTCTCTCTGGTGAAGCCTCTCACCAACCCTGCACTTCTGGCTTGTAACCCAGTCCTGTATGAATAAATAAATCTTTAAAAAAATAATTTAAAAAATTTGAAAACCCTCTTTTAATATGGAAGCTGTTTTTACTTACCAACTTTATGCTGTTGTCACCTTCCAGATTTTCTGTAGGCTGTAATTGAACAAGAAGTGGGGCATGAGGAATGTTAAAAAGGTATCTTTGACTTATCCCTCATTGCTTTCATGGTATCAAGTACACTACATATAGAATCCAGTACCTGTAAGCTAAAAAAGGGATTGAAGTAATTGTATGAAATATTAATGATATTCATGAAAGCAAAACCATATTTGTCAAATTTAACTGAAATCATTTGTATATGAATATAGTTTTTCAGACAACTAAGCACTAATACCCTGGACTATACCCTGGACTTTATGTGTTGTTTTGATAATAATCGAACATGACTTTTGAAAATGAGATACCTGATTACATTGTGCTGAAACCAGATCAGACAATTTAAGGAAGGTGATGTTGGAAGTTAAAGGTGAGAATGAATAAAATAGTAGGCTTTGTGTTTTTAAATATATGAATTTATTTAACTGCCAGAAACCAGATAACTGATTAGCAGTTGAACAAAATGAGTTTAGAGTAAGTCCCTTGCAGTCACCTTCCAACAGGCATATGATTCATACTTTGGAACACACACTATGCTATCAAGCCCTTGCTGACATGCTGTACTGCCAATTAGATAGATAGCTGGGTCCATAATGGAAACGGATGAATGTTTTGGCGACGTTTGCAGGGCAGAACAGGGCAGAAAATGAAATTCCATTACCTCTGACTAAACAACTTGCTGTTATCTCTCTAACTTTTTTAGAGACAGATGTGAAAGTTTACAAGTTAGTATCGTGTTGGGCCCTTATGTTCCAGAGAATGAATCTGTTGTAGGGAAAGGAGATCTGCCTTGTCTTTTGGAACTTCTGCAGAAAGCCCTGTGTTCTGCTCTCCCTTTGCTTAACTCTGTCATCTTTTCTGCCTAATTTTGTCACTTCATGCACCTCCTTCTGCTTTTATGCTCAGTATCTTTCACTAT